CCCCGAGCCAAGGGCTAACCCACCACTAGCACTTAAAGACTTTCACTGCGTAGCTTTACGAAAAATTCAAGTGAATTGTTATTTCATCTTACATCTGTAGGCTTCCGTGCTACTTCCTTATAATTAAATGTTACTGTAGCATAAGTTCAGAATAATCACTTATTTCAGAGACAATTTAGATAAATCAGGAATATTTACACTAAGTTTGTTTTAGTGCCTTATTAATTGACTGAAGTGTAAAGAAACTATTTATCTGCAGAAAGGTTATTCAACTGTCTGAACAAAATAAACAAGCTGAGGAGTTGCTAAGAACTGGAAAAATCTGATTAAGAATTGTTATTCTCTAAAATTGGCTGAAGAAACAATTTCTTTGGTAGTAGAAAAAAATACTGCTTTTAAAATATCATTGACAATTATGACACATTAAACATGAGTGTCACAGAGATACCCAACAGAATTAGATATGTTTGAATGGTATACACTGAAATAACTATGGCTCTGCATATAATATACTAGTTAAATTATATTATACTAATCCTGTTCTTGTAATGTTACAACAATTATATTTTCTTGGTCTGTAAGATTAGACTGTTTTCCAAACGGACACAGCACATCACCTTCCTCCATATTTTAACTCCTTCAATGGATGGGTTTTCTTAAAAAAAAAAAAGTAAATAGGAATTGAAAACCCAAACGCCATTAAGTGTTCTCAAGTACAAGGTAAAAATTCAGGATAGCAATAGGAGGATTCAATTATGTTACATGATTGCAGGGCTGCCAAAATTTCAGATCCATTTCCACAATTCTAGTTAATTTTGAAGTTGTTGATATTGTAGACAGCAGAAAAATAAAACTCAGACTCCACACATACACAGAGACTCCAAATGTACAATCTTTAGACGCTGTACAAATGTACAATTTCTAAGAACCCTAAAATAGAGACTCTTTAATATTTAGGAGACTGTTGCCCATCTAAAACTCAAGAAAACAAATTCAATCACTGAAAAATTAAAAGGTTTTAAAGTGTAAGAGCTAATAGACTCATCTAAGGCACTGTGATCTTCAAGAAATAAATAAGGAATAATAGACTTTAGATGTAAGAAGCAACCAATGCAAAATACATACATACAGCATGTTAAGGTTCCATTGTTAGTATGGACAACATTATTAGCAACAATCATTCTTTTTGTACTATACAGTCTGAATATGTTGTTTACTTCTCCATATTACTTGCTTAAAGAAGAATTTTGTTCAAAGAGATAGACCCAAAAATTCAGTTTGTATATTTCTAAAAAGAGAGGAACTGTTGAATTGTGAAATTGAACTACTACCTCATCTTTCCTGCCAATAGAGATTTCATAAGTACGTAGCAACTCTTTCAGGTTTTCCATCTCATTGCTCAATTGTCTCACATGTGCATCGTGTTTCTCTTTCTCCTGTTTCATTTGAAGCTTGTGATGTTCGATCAAACTAAGCTTCCATTTTCTCAATTCAGTCAGAACATTTGTCTGAAAAGTTAAAGGGATGTCAGTAGTGCAATTAGTAAAACTATTCCCTCCTCCCTAATCGCTTAGTATTAAAACACTTAGCAATTAAGGAGACGTGAATATTTACAGTGATGCCTTCATTACACAGGCTGTTTATAAATATTACCAGACATAACAAACTATTGAATGACAGTAACTGAACACCCCTAATGGAGAGAGTTATTCCAAAGTTCTTGAAACAAGATATTCTAGTGCTTACATGCAATACTCAACAACAGAAAGAATCAAAAAAGGAAACTACCATTCCCCAGTGCAATCACACTGCAACTTTTCCTGCACTCTCACTTATTCTACAACACACTTACATCTGTATATGACTTTTAAAGACTCCACATAAAATAAATACCTTAAGACTTCCACTCCAGAGATCAAGTATGTTTTCTATTTGAGTTACTTTTTCATCAGGTAAAGTTAGTTCAGTCACTATGGTTTCGTTGATTTCTCTTGGACCGCCTGTGGACCCTTGTGGAGAAGTCTCCTCTGAAAGAACAGGGCAAAGTCGTTCCATATTGGCCTCAGAAGGCCCCTTCACTGACATTGAACCTACAAATGAGACAGAGAATAAGGATTGATACTCCGGAAAGGCTAACTGGTCTGCATTCTGGATGGAAGTCAGAAGCCAGGCATGAAAAAAAACCCGAAAGCCCAGAATATTTACGCTATCAGAAACTCCCTTTCCCCATGCAAAACAAACAACGGAATTCAAATACATGCTTCCAAGATACAAGTATATTTAAACCAAGAGTCTTATTGGAATACTAGTCAAATCAAAACTTCCACTCCTTCACTCCTTTAAAGAACAAAATCTTTTGTTATTTCATTTTAAAGACGCAGTTGCAGAACATGCACCAAAAAACCCAGTGTTTCCAGAAACAAAAATTGTCTCTCTCAGTAAAGACTTCTTGTTGATTAATATCTCAGGTCAAAAATATAAAAAAACTTTTGCCATTTTCCTTAATGAAACTGCAAACTTCAGAGGCCAGGGGCCTTCCTTTGTGCTTTCACAACACAACCAGTGGGTATATTTCAATGTTGGTATGTACCTGTATCCATTTTCCTTACAGCCTTTCATTTGCTAATCTAATTATATTTTTAAACTCGAGTAAGGAAATATGTACTATGAATTTATATAACACAATAAGGGCTCACTTTCAGGTACTGTGGCTGACTACCACTGCAATATTTATGCCCAGGCAAATACTTATGGCAAAATTAATGCCCAGAAGCAAATGGGCATGCTTTTTTGTTCCAACTGATGGGAAGAAAAAAATGAGTAAGAATAAAGAAGTTAATATTTAAGTAAACAGAGGAAATTAAATATTGTTTCATATTTAGCTATTCCTTACAGAAAATTTGTTATTTGAGTTGACAGCTAAATAAAAAAATTTTGAAAGAAGAGAGATTAGCAGATTCCTGGTATTAATAACAATCAGAACAGCTTCAAAAGAATACTGTCCTTCTTTCATGGAGAGAGGAACCCTCCAGCATTTTAGCCCTCATTTCTGAGAAAAAATATTGTGTGTACAATTGGTTTCATAGTGGATGGGTATTATTTTCTGGTACAAGCATGCACAGATAAGCTCAACTGTTTGTCACAAAGCAGTATTTTCAAGGAACACTGGAAATGTATGTTTCTCACTTATTTAAGGTGGAGCCTGATCATTGACACTCTTTTACAGTTACTATCACTGTTAGGTCTCCTGTCCAAAGAAAGTGAGAAGAGCTGACTGGCTAATACTCCCCCCCATCAAGTAGGTTGAATTTCAACTGCTACACTCATGCTCCAAAATAAGAATGAAAGAAGGAAGAACTGTGATGCAGAGGCAATTACAACTGCTTTTTGTCATTTCTCCTAAGGTCATATACAACTACACATCATAAAATTAAAATCGGCTTGAGCTAAAGAAGCTTCATCTAACACACCTGTAGACTAACACACAACTCTCTAGACTAAATTTCCTACCCCATTGCATAAGCAGAAGACCGTAAACAGATTATTCCCAATCACACCAATATATTAAGATCAGGGTCTAGCTTTTTACATTGTTCTTCCTGCAAATCAGAGAAGTATTGGTTAGCTAATGGCAGAATTTGAATATTCGTTGTTTGTAAAGATCTCCAAAAAATATGACAGGTAGACAGATGACCTAGACTACTTGAAATACATCTAATTTCAGTGATGAAGAATCTGTCTGGCCTTTCACAATATAAAATATTTGGCAGTGTTACTATTGTCAAGTATTCCCAGTTCTGTCCTTTACCACTTGTTCCCATTCCTGCATGGCACTGTGTTCTTCCTTCAATTGCAGCGTTGCTGTAAAGTGCGTGAAGGTTTGTTTTCAGTTTTAAACTTACTATTTGCTTGGATTACAAAGATATCCAACTTACACAGCACAGCTTGCAAGATATTTTCCAAGAAAAAAACCAGAACAAAATGCAACCAACAAAACCAGAATATTAAGCTAGACTGACAACTGCCATAGTCTGAGATCATTATTACAAGTTTGTCACTCCCCTCCCCCAATTGTTCCCATGTACAGATCCTAACTCAGCTTCCATTCTTCTCATTTACCAGAGGATGTACCCTTCACTGAATCCAACGAGTGTATCTGTTACCTATTTATATCATCATCTCATGTAATTTATTTTGGCCTTCCCGTATTGCCATAATTTTCTAGTTGTACACATATTTTCATTCTTATTCCTAATGCTCTGCTCCTATGACCTCTATACCTTCCACTGCATTACAGGATACCATTAAATTACCAAGGACATTTGGATACGATAAAGCACAAAAATGCACTTCATTAACTAATCCCCACATGCATTTACTCTGACAAATCTCTAGACTGTATCCTTGTTTATAGTAGAGGTAATGAAATCAGCTGTTTTTCAAGATGTCTGTTATCCTAATACTACTGTTTCAGTTTTTTTTTTTTTTCCGTGTTCCTCTAGTATCTAACTTTTTCTGCTTTTATTGAGTAAATAAGCTCTGACTGTTCTCACACACTATCTGCTACTAGTGGCCCACACCAAGGGTAGCAATTTGCTAAAATGTATAGTTTAAAAAAAAAAACTCAGAAGTTTAATGGCTCAATACTGAGGACTGGCAGCCTGAAGAGAAGGAATTTTTGCACTGTCTGGGTATGAGTCATCATTACACATGTTCGCTACAAATAATTTACTGCTCCAGTCTTAGTCATTTTCAAATTTAATCAACTAAACTGGTAGCAAGAACAGGAAATTAAGTTTCAGGTTTCAAAGTTTAAAAGCATTTGGACATTGAATTGAACAGTACAGCATGTTTTATTCCAATTATTTTTCTTATTTGACTGGAACCTCTTATTGAAGATATTATGTATTATTAAATTTACTGCAACAAAGAGAGATTACCAGTAATCAGACTTCTATTGTCATAGTGGAAACATTCACTTCAGTTTCAAAAACCCGAGAAGAAAAGTCAAAACACCAGAACAAAGAATACTCCACAAAGAGAACTTCATTTCAGAAGGTGTCATGTGGCATTGGAAACTCTGTTGGTCTCAATACCAACATCATGTGGAGAAGGGGAAAAAACACTGCAAGCTTGAGAAGCTCCACAGAAAAGCAAACTTTTAGGTGTGAACTCTACACCCAGCATAGACATGCATTTTGTTCGAGAAAGTTATAGGACACTAATAATTTATGAATTTGTTATTTTAACACAGCAACAGCATTAGAGCCAGGCAGGGAAAGAATAAATGTCAAAGAGCCTTTTTAAAACTATTGTTTTAAGCTCTATCTCAAGGAGACAGAAGACACCTCTTTCCTAGACTGACAGGACATAGTGACATTTTGAACAGCAAACCTATGTTTTGATAAAGCAGCAAAGCACCAGAAGTTTATTTATAGAGCATAGCTAATAGAAGTATGATGTGGCCATGTAAATATTCTTCTTGCCTCAGTCTCTGAGAAGATCAAGAGCACCTTCTTAATCATTAGTTTTCATTTCAAAAATAAAAGACAAATTTTATTTTGCAAGGTGCTTCCCTTTGCAAAGATAATAAACATCCAAGTGTCTATAACCAAGGGGAATATGCGGCTCCTTGTAATGAGTAAAACATAAAGCTGCAATGCAAAATTTTGATCACTGTCAAGCATAAGAGCATTTTTTTCCCGTCCCATGACAATTAACTACAGTTTGCAAATGACTATTCTTATTTGGTAATGCCAGCATATTAGAAGATAACTCTATTAAAATATTTCAAGAGAAGCAATCAAGGGAATGGAAATTTGTCCTCTCACTTCTACTGCACATCTTTAGGCAATAAAAAGGAACAAAGACTTCACAGGATATATATTTGACCTCAGAAAAAAAAGTAAGAGCATAACTACACTGACAGAGTTAAAGAGAGACAGCAGACAGTGCTGGTTAAAATCTTCTCTTCAGACAAAGATGATAAGAGAGGGAGTATACAGTCATCTACAGAAAAAAAACCACAAGTCTAGTGTTTTGATTCTGAGCTTCTTTCTTATAAATAGCAGTACCACACATCACAAATATTCCCTTCCAAAACAATGTTCCATTCAAAGTAGGAGACAAAACTCCAAGCAGACAGAGGACTGGGGACAAGACCTGAACTGGGATTTGCTCCATAATATAATTCCACACAGCTGGGTTCAAAACTTTCTGCTCCTGTTTTAAGAACAACATCTGAGACTGAGAAATACTTCCACCAGCTGACCTGAACTCTACAAGTCGAGAGTTTTGAAAAGTGTTTTTGAATCCTGGCAATCTGCTAGTGTGATCGATCAACAGCCTGCTACAATGTAAGAAGATTCAGAGGAGATGAGCACTATGCTCAAGCTCTGGGAAGAGTACAGGGAGTGACCGCAGCTGCTGTAAAGAAAGCTGAACTTTTTCTCAACACAGGGAGGGGCAGAGGGTTGCCTTTGTTTTTCATGAATGGCTGTATCAGTTGAGTGGATCAACTTCTAGAGTAACTAAGGCCACTTACACAATCTGTTGAGGGGATCAACTGGTTGTGTAAATGGCCTTAGCTAATCGAGAAGTGTGAAAGCATTCCTGTGCTAGCCAGACAAGCATGTGGGAAGTGTTGGCTCAACCCAACACAGTATAAAAACTGAGCAACCAGCAAAATGAACGTTCAGCACAGCAATGGGCTTGAGCTGGCTTTAACCCACACAGGCCCTCCCGGCAACTGCGGATGCCCAGTGTTATGATGGTTAGTGTATAGATACTGGTAACAGGAACCAAATTTGTACTGTGATCTAACTGTACATTACAATTACTCTACCATGCTGTGACTTTTCACCAATTCCTGCTCAGATTTTGGCTAACACACAGCTAATGCTAAAGCCTGATGTATCCTGGAGTAGTGTCATTAGTTCACAAGGCAAGAGCAGTATGCATCCAAGACATGATGGACAGAAGGGCTAAAGGTCATTATGCAGCTGTTATCACCTGCAGCTTGCATTCTCCTGGAGCCATAATCCTTGCTCATTGATTGTCTGGCAGTTCCTTCAGAATTCACTAACTTCCAAGCTGGAAGGTATAAACACATCAGCTTACCCAAAAAGCTTTTGAAATGTATCCAGCAGCAGCCAGTCTACTGAGGCTTTCGTGCTTCCTGGTGTGATACAGAGGTCTGCACTGTGATAGAAGAGGAAGGATGAGCCGTCTCGCTGTCAGTTAGGTAATTATTTTTCTCATAGGGGTGTGAGCAATGAGTTGCAAGTTATGAATTGGAAAACTCGTAAGTTAAAAACCTTATGTTAGATTAGTCTGTATAAAGAAGATTGAACCCTTGTTTTATGTATTTGTTTTCTTTCCTATTGAGCTCGGAAAATAAAGTTTAATTTACAGAGTATGCTGGCCTGTAAATTTGAGAGATCCAAACAGACCATGATGTGTGCTTGCATTGTGATTTCAGTATATCGCTCTATCACTCTGCTAAACCAAGATCCCATGTTATAGCAAATATCTTCAGACGAGTAAACTGGTATTAGAAGACTAAGCCCTCCTTGTGTGCAATATCTAAAGGAACCTGGTCAGAGAGTATTAGACTCTTGACAGTAGCCACAGAATGTTCTTTGGCTGTTAGACAGTTTAAACGCTACCTTTAGTTGAATCTATCAGACTGCAATTTTTGGTACCTTGACCTGATATAACAGATAAGGATGTTTCATTCCCCCAATCAAAACATTTTGTATCATAATTTTTTAGACCCCAAGCAACTGCTCTCATGCTAAGAGTTGCAGGACTCTTACTAATAGTAGAATTTTTTATACAATGTTTGACTGTTCAAGAATAATTGCCACAGTACAAAATACCAGCAGCTTCTATTAATCTGATTTCTCATGCAACTTGGTACAATTCTCACACAGGACATAACTACACTGGATCAAGTTAATAACCTTCAACATGTTAAGAGAAAAAAACCAAAAAGCAAAGCTTGCACTTGAAACTCATCTGTTGGCAGAAGTTTGTCTAACATTCACATTCTAATTCCAGATCTACTTCCATTACAGAATATTCTCTCTCTAAATCTCTATTCTCATGCCTTCTGCATTTCCTATGGTAGTCTGATATTCAGAAGAACAACCACACTAATTCTGCATGGGAGAAGTTATGGATATGATGTTCTTAAGGCCTAAGATTCTTCATTAATTTATAAAAATTATAAAACATTTCTCCTTATGGCATACTGGATAGAGAACTAGGTATTGGCTTGTTTATCTGAATATACCTAAACTCCACAGCACAAACTCACCTTAGAAGGATAGAGAGCATAACCAATACTACCACCCTCACTTTAATAACATTCCTTATTTTAAGAACTTGTTTCTAGATAATTTTTTATTATATTGTATTAATTCGAGTTAACTAAATATTAATTGCCAGCTTACTAAGACTACTTTATTCCAGTGAAAGCAACATACAATTTAAGGACATGGATTTTTATTTTTTTTTTTTACTCACGATTCTTTTATTAATATGAAATAAACAACTTCCAGTGTCTGTATTGCCCTTTGCAACTGCACTGATAAATTCCTGCTAGTTGAGAGTTATTTACCTCTGGTCAGCATGGCCAAGAGTTCTTGCATACATTAGCCCTGAACAACATTTACTCTACCACTAGATTTACGCAGCACTTCAAGGCTGCTTAGGCTCTAGTAGTAAAATTATCCACGTATTTTACACCCCATGCTCCTCTAAATAGTAGAGAGAAGCCCATCCTCAAGGGTTACAAAAAGAGGAGTGAAGGGAAAAGTGTAGGTAAATAATTTAATCATAAAATAGCATGATAATGAATAGAAGTTAGTTTTAAGTAAGTTCTTCCTGAGTAAGCTAAACTCCCTAGTAAAGAAATAACGCTGGTATGATGGTTTACTATTTCTTCTGAAGCAAAATTAACAGAGCTTCCTCAACCTAAGTGCTATTGACAAAAGCACACAATATATAACCATAAATACCAGTGTTACTAATGCATCACAAGACACTAAGCTTATATAGTCCTAAATACCAAGCAATGAAGTAAAAAATAGTGTGATTAAACTAAAAGAGCAAGAATGACATTCATGTAGTGACAAGATAAGACATTACACAAAGCCCTTTTAAGGTAACTCTCATTTCCAAATAATCATATTTTAAATACTCATTTATCTATCATGTCAGCACAGGTATGAGCAAAACCAGCTGTGACCTGTCGAATTTCAACAAAGTATACTGTAAGTAAGGGCAGCCTTTTTTGCATTATTACACCAATTACTTTAAACATCTACATCACAAAACACAGAGAACTGTCAGCACATCAATAGTATAATCTGAAAGCGATATCGGAAAGAGAATCCTTCAGTGAATATGCCTTCTAAATTTCTTGTTGTGCAAAATGTAAATGTACTATATATGAGTGACATATATTTTCAAACAGAAGGCATTAGAAAACTTAAATCAAAAAAGTTACATCACTGCTCTTGTAAGCTCAGAGCATAGCTTTGCACATACTACCTGGAGTCTTACGGTGAATGCCATCATCTGTTACACTTGAAAATCTGCCATCTGCTCTCAGTTCTGAAGAAGGTTCTGACGACTTCAAGACACACAGTTCAAGCTTTGGAGTCACTACAGCATAACGAAGCAGCTCTTCATATTCAACCTGTCACAAAGTGATGACAAATAATTATAAAACTAATTACATTTCTACAAACTAGGTATATGTAGGGAGGAGTGGAAATGGTTTTAAATTTGAGAGTTTTTTATATTATTATTACTATGGTGAAAACTAAGAGGATTTTCCTTAAAGTTGCAAAAGCAAGCTGTTTTCACACTATGATTATAATAACTTATGTTTCTCTTGTTTCATCTTCATGCCTACTCCAATTACAGCTAGATGCACTATGACAGTTACACAGACTTTGCTAGATGCCAGAATTGGATACAAAATAGGCACCTTAAACAAAAACGTGAACTGAAAAAAAGTTCCAGATCATGTAAGCTATTAATCACTTGACACTGTTCGTAAGCACTACTATTACTGCAAAGAAAAATATGTATTTTTAGAGCCATGACAAAGCTGTCACATTTCACATTCCGTAACATTACAATTTCTTTGGTGGGAGTTCTATAGCCAGTCATCAAAAGACATTTGATTATCCAGTATTTTCTTTAGATTAGATACAATAATGCTCACCTTATAGTATGCATTTTTCAAATTACATAGTTTTAGGGAATGTGTATATATAACTAATATAAAAGCTTTCCTGTTAAATAGTTATAAACCAATCTGACTGGTATGTGACATATTATATACCAAAGTAAACTAATTAATGTAGCATTTTTTTTGAAATCTCCTTGGTAAACAGATTTTCAGGAGGAAATTATTTAGAGTTCATTGTGAAACTGTGAATAATCTGTATTATAATTTAGACATACAATCCGGTAATTAATTTACAAATGTTCCCGTAGCAGTTAAATGCTGAAACCGATCAAACCACTAATTAAACACTTGGAAAAAAACACCAGTTGGAAAGTACTAAAGCATGGCACTAGCAGTCATTTTTTCTTAATATCTTACTAATTCTGTTTAGTATCCTAATGAGGTCAAACCTCAGAAACCAAGTGTGTATTGAAAAATTAGTTTGCTCCTCAAGCCGGCAAAGTTACAGTGGAAACAATCAGTTAAACATACCAGTTACATGTAATATGTTTTTGAATCTACCAGCTGAAAAGGAAAAGGTTTTAAAAATTTCAGTGTAACCCTTATATTTTTGTGGGTTTCAACTAATTAGAGAACATTTTAAGAAGCTAGGTTTTTGTACATTTTTGCTGAATTCTAGCTTCCTTTCAAATTTCCATTTCCCATCTTCTACTCCACATTAAAATTAGAAAGCTAAATAAATGTATGTGAAGCTACATAATTACAAATACATAGTGTATCTTTTTGATAAGCAAAAGGAAGTATTACATTCCATGTAAAAGGTATAGTTAGTTGTGAATCAACAACTTATCAATTTTTCCATATCCATATCGTTCTAAAGAGATATGGTTTAGATTTTATCAGATGTTAGAATTAGAAAACAGACATCTTCAGATGAGTTACTCAACCAGGAACTACAAAGAAATGTACAATATTCCCTGTAGCAAAATTTCAGCAGAGTAAAAAGGCCACTATATTAGTCTTTACCTTAACGCATCTAAATTAAATGATTGTGCAGAAAACATTAGACTAGTTCTCTGTCTTCTTCAAAGAGATCGTGTGACCAAATAGCAATTTAAAACAAAGTTTTTCCCTCAAACAAGTGAGTTTTCAGTCAGAACTGATCCAGCTGCTTCCACAATTACCTTATCCAACTCAAGGGACACAGTAGGTAAGATGTCAGGTGCAAGTAGGCAGCTCATTTTGCGTCACCCAATTTAATCACTAGCACACAGTCTGTCTTACTATAGACATCTTGAGCACTGAAAATACACATATCAAGTTATGGCAGGAAATTTATCTAGTCCTTTAAGTTCTAATACTCTTACTAAAACCCAAAGAATCCAGCATATGATAGGAATACACGCTCCTGTGCACCAACAGAAAGTGTCAATAGACAGTATCCAGTGAAAAATATTGAAATACATGCTTATAAATTCCAATACAATAACACTGTTGGAATGAAATTGAAAGCAAACATTAAAAAAAAAAAACCAAACAAACCAATCCCACAGTATCCCAACTGTAACCAGAAACTTAGACACACACACACAAAAAAAAAAAAAAAAAAAAAATCCTGGAGACTGCAGTAAGAATATGTAAAACAGAGAAAGGGAAACATTAAGTGATTAAGTGTATTATTTCTATCTTAAATATTCCATAACAAAGACATGGCAATTGGAATGAAATATTGACCAATAAATTTCAAATAAAAACCTAATAAAATAAAATTAACAATTTATCTTTGGCTTACTTACTGCCTTTGTTCTGGTTTAAACAAAACTTTCAAGCTGTTATGTCAACTACAAAAATTCTCTTAGAGCATAAAACTACAGGAACATAGTTCTAAAGGTCAGAGGACCTTTGATCATTTAATACATACTACCTTGACTTTGTAGAAGTAAATAAATTTGTATTGAAACAAAAAGAGGCACAAGAGCTTTCAGATGTCTGGGGTTTTTTCTTCCTTCTTAAAGCATTATAAAAATCCATAGATGTTGCATAGAATTTGTCTTCAGGATTGCAGTCAAGGTTACTAAACAACAGGAAAAGAATGAATTGAATGGACAAAGTCTTGCAGAGCTCAATTATAAGTAAATGTAAATTCTCTAGGAGCCAGCGGATTCTTTTTATAAGATAAAGGTAATAAATAATCTGTCCTCTACTTAAAAGCATCAGATTATCAAAAAGGCGCAAACAAAATAAAACAAAAAGGCCCTTCAAAATTATATAAAAGGAGTAGAGCACTTCGCTGTCAGTATTCCTTTTGCTCAGCTGTGACCCTGATGGTGTCCTTTTTCAACAGTAACAGACTCCTATGAGGAGCATCTGAGGACTCTGGGTTTGTCCGTTTTGGAGAAAAGGAGGCTGAGGAGCGACCCCATTGCTCTCTGCAGCTCCCTGAGGAGGGGAAGCGGAGAGGGAGGTGCTGATCTCTTCTCCCTGGGATCCAGTGACAAGATGTGTGGGAATGGTACAAAGCTGCACCAGGAGAGGTTCAAACTTGACATTAGGAAACACTTCTTTACCAAGAGGGTGGTCAAACATTGGAACAGGCTTCCTAGAGAGGTGGTCAATGCCCCACACCTGTTTTTAAGGGGCATTTGGACAATGACTTTAATAATACGCTTTATCTTCTGGTCAGCCCTGAATTGGTTGGGCAGTTGAACTAGATGATCATTGTAGGTCCCTTCCAATGGGATCTATTCTACTCTATTCTAGATATGTTCTCAGTTCCAAGTCAGTCATTCATTAAAATTAGTTTACTTTACATTCTCTACAAGGTGGCCTTAGAACCTCCTTGATAATCAAGCAGATCGTAAAAAAATTCTGGTCTTTCAAAATTTGTTGCACAATGACTTCATCCTGTTTTCCAACTACAAAAGACATTGGAAACGCAGATGAATTATTATTGCTGAACAAAAAGTAAGAAAACTTACCCATGAGATATGACCACAAACAGAGAAGCATACAAACTGCAGAAATGAATCACCCATAAACAGGTAGTTTAAAAGGAATAAAGTCAATCCATATGAAGAAAAAACCCCTTAATCTAAGAATGCTTCTGCCGTACATGCGCATTCCACCAGGTGACAAAAACGGAGATGCATTTCTACTGGGAACTAGCAAAACTTTTCGTCAAAACTAGTCTGTTTTGGATAGAATTGTATCAAAGAAAAAAAATACTGACTCCTCAAGTAGGAATAACAAATTACTGAAGGATGAAAGTCTGCTGCTTTCAAAAGAATAGGACAAAGCTTTTATCCAGTACCTTCGCAGCCTCTCAGAATAATGCTGAGCACAGAGAAGAAAAACCTTCCACTGTTACAGTTCCAACATATCTCAGCATATTTGATGCAGAAAAAAAAAATAGCATTTCCTTTCTATGATTAAGTTGACCACAATCCTACTCCATGGGAAATAAATCCATTAAAAAATGCAGTTCTTACAACATCATATAAGAAGCCTAACACATAGCTACACGTCATCCCTCAGAAAACAGGTTTCTATCCTACTCTGTCAAATTTATGCTCCTTGATAAGACTTAAAACATATAAAAAACAACACCAGAAAAAAAGTACGAAAATTGTATGATTTTACTTGCAGCTGTCATTGATCAACCTTTTAATTTTAGATAAGAATTTTCACATAAATTGAAATCTCTTGTGAATTGCACAAAAGGGAATCCAATTGAAGATATTTTAATCTCAGTTTTTTCTCTAATTTGCTTCTTTTCACTAACATTTTTATTACTTTCCTGTACACGTAAAACATAAAAAAGACGCAAGTTTTGTTAGATTTCCTCATAATTATCCTCTGCAAAACAAAATGCTATGACAGTGAACAAAATGACATTGCCTCTTTCCTACCTGAAGATCTGAGGAAACAGAACTGCCCCGAAAAGAGTCTTTTGGCAAAACTGGACTTGTGCTTTTCTCCTCATCTGATGACATTCTGCACAAAGTCAGTCTATAAAACAGCAGAAGCTGAACTTCATTCTCCAGTTCCAACATGTTTACTGTACATGCACCAAAATTTTCCCCACAGAGATTCTGCTGTAGAAACTACATCAACGCCAATTTGGTGAGCTAAACTCATTGTACAGTCTCCTATAATGCTAGGTAGGAAACTGCCCAATCCAAACCATACTCAAAACTATGCAAAGACTCCAACTGACTTTAAAAGTAAACAATGGAAGACCCAAAAGCAACAATATAAAAGTGGTCTCTTATTTTACACTGACTGAACAAAATTAATACCAAATGCTTCATGATACATAATACAAAATTTTACATCAACGGTAACTAAAACACACTGCTAAAGGAAAAAAAGAAAAACACACGTTTCAAGAATAACAGAAGCCTTAATTTCTAGATACTTTCCTGTGTCAATCCCACCTTCTTGTTCACACTGTATTGTTTTGGAGCTTATCAGCTCGTTTTAGTACTAAATTTCTATAGAGTTACACAGGAATGAGTAAGCTACACTGTGATTTTTTTCCCCCCTGATGAACAACACCTCATCCACAGTCCAAGCTGAGATGATGCGGTGAACACTCCAGTGCAATACCCTGAAGCCTTCACTTAGTGGTCAACATTTTTTCAACTCTTCTTGCCTTATAGGCCCAGGAAGACAAACAGATATGGAAAGACACACAATGCCTTAGGTTCGGGTAACATCAATCATTCCAGCAATTTCTAAGCAACATAGTGAACAAGAGACTCAAAGACTTTCTGAAAGGTATATATATATATCTTTTAATCCCCTGCAGCCTTGAATAAGTTGTTCAGTGAAGAACTGAAGCTCTTGTGATAAAACTTGATAGGATATGAGGAAAAAGAACACTACAGGATATGGGGGGAATTAAAGAAACTATAGAAGGAGTGTGAATAGAGCATTAAGCAAGCTGAACTTGTTAACAAATGAATGGCAGAGCGATATTGTTGCCTGATGCACACGAAAAATAATCATTAGACACACTGAGCAGGGAGTTGTCAGCAGAGAGTAAGCACAGGAAGAAGACCACCACAAATAACCAGAGGAACTGACTGTTTGTACAGTGTAGCAAACAGCCATGCAAGGAAAACTCATTTTTAGAGGTACCTTTAAAACTTTCAATCATACTATTCACAGTTGTTTTTTAAACAGACGCATTTTCTGACAGAAATGTTATTTTTAAATTCCAAGTTGTACTGTCATTAAGTTGGCAGGAATATCCTCCTTAAGCATCATCGTCTTTTTTCAAAATGTAAAAAAAAAAAAAAGCAATAATCTCATAGCTCTCAATATAGGAATACAGATGGAAATTAATTGTCTTTTTGTTCTTTAAGTCATTCCAGTTGCTGATTCTTCCTGCATCACAAAAGCTCTCTCTGGCATGGGTATCTACCAGACAATGGTAGGTCAGAACGTAAGTCCATTTTGGTGCTGAAGATGGACATTTTAAAACTAGTAAAACAACAATTTTACATGCTGAGATTTCCTACAGCCCACATTTCAAAAGACATTACTTGAACCCTAATATAAACACCATGGCTTTTAAGTAAAAGATACGGAGTCTTGTGCAAGTTTACTAAATACTTTTATTGCTGTATACCAGTGTGTAGATGAGAGAAGAAATACTAGCTCCTCATCTCTTCTGTTTTCATTGTCTCCTGCCCTGATAATTTTCTTCTTTCAACTCTCCTACAAACTATTCCCTACCTGTTCCTTTGGTTATGGCCTGTCTACCTAATCAAATAACTTTATACTACCTGAGTAGCCTTAAAGTCCTGGAGGTATTCAAATGTGTGTGTGTGTGTGGGGGGGGTTGTTAGGGAGGATCACAAAGTACCAACTATCTAGCACTTAAAGGAATTAAAGGTGTATTTGCAGCCAGAAACTACAAATACTCTTCCCTTCCCAGTCCATTCAAAAAGAATTAAACTACCATAAATTTTTCAGAGAAACAGGAGGGCAAATGGAGTTCCACGTGAACACAGATGAGTCCAAGGAAGTGAAGGATAAAGGTTTCTTCTGAAAAGTCTGTTCAATAATTTAAGACCACTGACCTGATTTCAATTTTCAGTTTTCGGAGATCATGCTGTTGACACTCAGTCTAGTGTATCTAGATCTCTGCTTATCACTGAAACTACTCTCAAGTTAGTGGTCTTCCAAAATTCAAAAGCTTTCTTCACCATGAGTATTGCCACCTCCCCACTCCAGGCCACTCTTCCCTTCAAATCTATAACTGTAGCTTACCTGTCTGACACTGTCTTGTAAGAGTCACTCACTGTTATGCCAGGCTCCGTGTGTTTGCCTCCTCTTCCCATCCCTTTTTTAAATATCCCTGGACTAGCCCTCCACTGTGTTTGTCCATCTGGTCTCTACCTGACTGCCTTTACTGACTTGAGTGCTCTTTTAGATTCTCACTAACAGGGTACTAAAGTTTGAGCTTTCCCCATGTTTCTATGTTTTGCCTGTCTGTACCTCTAATGTTTGTGTCTAGAGTCACAAACCTTGCATTTTGACTACTGCAACATTCCAGTGAAAATCCCAGTAAACCTAAAACTCTAGAAATCTGCTTACATACAGAACAACAGATTGGATTACTATGATAAACTAAGATAAATGCTCTTCTTTTAAGCAGATGTTTAGACATCATTGCCATGTCATGCTAAGAATAACTTGTTTATCCCAGTGAACAAGCACTATGTTCAAGAAAATACTGGATAAGTTTCTAAAAGAAAAATCAAGGGATATTAAGTAAGACACCATCTCTGGGTCAACAAGTTGATTGGCTAAACTAAAAATTATCACATGGTGAGACAAATGAGAGGATCATCTTCATGCTTACCTTGTTCTAACGTTCCCTGAGCATCTGCCAAAACATATGTCTGACTCCATTAAGGAAAGACAGTTAACAGAAGTAGCTTCTTCCAACATGCAAGTGTACGACTACAATGGTAAGACAGCCTCTTTTAGAAACAGGACCCAACTACAAAGACCTTTGGTCTGACCCACCGTGGCTGCTCTCATCCTCATTAACTGCTTGAGCTGTGCTATGGATTTTGTTCTTTTGGGTTTGTTTTTGATTAAAAGTGATGCTTTCTGAACAATTGAATCTTGCATTCAGATCAGAGGACTCGACACTTTGGAAAGATAACTACTGCACCTCCCAGAACACACAGACGTATTCTTTCCCCTTAACTGCACCCCCTTGCAAAGCAGCACTGCTCAAGTCCACGTTTTTAAGCTTCTCACACTACAGCAGTTCTGCAACTACTCCTGACGCCTGCGG